ATCCTCTTAATGAGCTGAGAGAGGAAGGTTGATCCCGCCAGGGATGGAGTCTTGTAAAGTTGGCAATGGAGGAAGAGGCATGAGGAACTCTTGCTCGACCATCAAGCAGGACTTGGTGCTCGTCTCCTCTTGGTCTCCTTGGGAGGTGCTTGCTCTGTCTTGATAGGTTTGTGAACAACCTTAGCTTGAAGAACTGCCTCCCGCTTTAAGGACTTGAGTCTGCTTCTCCTGTGACAGACTATCCATGGCTGGGAAGTCGAGGGTTTAGCAGGATTAGATGCATCCGTACCGGAGTCATGTATTGAGGCACTCTTCTGACTAGGAGTACTGTCTTGTGGGTGTTCAGCATAAGCAATGTGACCTATCTGGACTTTTTCCACAACCATGGCTTGGAACCCATAACATTTGCTCAACTCGTGGCCCCATATCTGGTGATATAAGCACCAGTGATTCTCAGTTCCCTGAGTAAGGCTCTTAGGCTGCCTTGCCGGCTTTGGTGTGATGTGTCCCTGTTGGATCATCTTACCGACCAAAGCCTGGAGGAGATCTGATGGTAGGTTATCAAGAAGATGTGGGCTTTCATCTTCCTCCTGTATTGTCACCGCATGGGGGACCTCAGTTGCCCCGAATGCTTTCTTAAGCTCCTCGAGTTTTATCTGACCCTTCTGGATCAGAGTCATTTAGTGTATAACATTCCTCTTTGGGGTGGTTTATCCTCCGATGATAAGCATAATAGTTCGCATGAGTGTCGAGTCCAGCTTGATCAGGGAACTTGCTCTCAGGCAGCTCGATCATGTTCGGTTTCAGTAATAAGTGAAGTAGTGCGAGAACCCATTCCTTTTCAAAAGGGTAGACTTTATTCTTATGCCTAACCCAATAATCATCTCTATTAAGGGTCGCAGGTGGGGGTACCCAGTTATATGATTGCTGCTGCTTGCCATCCCGAGGCGTTGTCATTGTTGTGCCAACCCCTTTGGAGAGGTCCAAAGTTTGAGAGGCAACCTTCTTTGGATCACTTATGGTGATGGCCGCACTAACTACCCCTTTCCGTTGGTTGCCCTATGCATTAGTTTTAGAATTTCCATTGCCCCGGTTATTCCCCGAGCTTGAAGGCTATTTTTGTGACATGCTATGGTGGCATGACAAGCTCTCTATGCAGACTGACTTAGAGATCAACTCTGGATTGGAGGCCTCAACATGTAGAGCGATCTCAGGTCGCATGTTCCGCACACAGGTCTGGACTGCTTCCTTCCCAGGCATGGGATTCGGGTGGTGAGCTGCCAAATCTCTCCACCTTGCTATGAATTGGTCTACGGGTTCGTCAGGTTCCTGGGTCATGGTAAGAAGCTCTATGGTTTGAACCTCTCTCTCAATCTCATAGAAGCATTGGTGAAACAGTTTCTCCATTTCCTCCCAAGTATGTACTGAATTTGGGGGAAGCCGAGCATACCATTGAAAGGCCGAGCTGTTAAGCGTTTCAACGAACTAAGTGTACGGACCGAAACTTCTCGGCTAGAAAGGCTTGCAAGGTAGTGAAAAGCCAATGAAAGAGGAGAAGAGAAGTGTAAAGCCATATGTGTAATGCCATATGTGTAATGCCGTCTGTGTAATGCCATCTGTCTAATGCCGTCTATGTAAAGCCGTCTGTGTAATGCTATTTGTGTAAAGCCATATGTGTAAAGCCGTCGATGTAATGCCATATGTGTAATGCCATCTGTGTGATGCCATTTGTGTAATGTCGTCTGTGTAAAGCCATCTTTGTAACGCCGTCTGTGTAAAGCCATCTGTGTAACGCCGTCTGTGTAAAGCTGTCTGTGTAATGCCGTCTGTGTAATGCCGTATGAGTAATGCTGTATGTGTATTGCCACTTGACACATGTAAGCCGCTTGTGGACCTTTGACAACCACTTGGACACCACATACATAACACTTGTAACCCTTGTTTCCACTTGGCTTGTGCATGCTGCCTCTCTCCCCTTTCTTGTTTATAAATACTCCTTCAAACACTCATCTCAAGAGCTTTCACACACACACACACACACACACACACAATCTCTGTATCTCTTTCTCTCTCTCTCTAAGAGCCATTGTGAGCTCATTGTTACTCCATTATTGGAGCCTTATTAGGAGTTGGAAGGAGATTGTGAAAGAGGATTTTATAGAGCATCTTTGCATAATAGGTAAGTGGATCGACCACCATTGCACTACTGCCATGAGAATACATGAAATTTATTGTCTACAATATGAGTAATAAAAAGTGAATGTATTAAAGTGATTCTTATGCTTTGTTTCATTGAAATTGGTGCCTTTACTCTATGATGAATTTTGGTGCTGAAAAATGAATGTATGACTTACAAATTATGTAGAAAATGTATGTTTATGTGTGTATATTGTGAAGAACAGTTATTATGATGTTATTCACTAAGAATTGAAGGTTATGGAACATGTTCTTGAGGCATGTAAAGTGTTATTGTGAAATTCTAGGAACATGCATGTCTTACAAAAGTGAAGTTATGTTCCTATATATATAAGTATGCCACTGTTGGCTGTTCTCCCTGGATTTTTGTGCTGTTACTGCTGTTGCCACTGGTTTTGACTAACCATATGAAGTGCATTTTCTTTCAAACTACTGTCATTTGAAGATCTATGAGTAGGCTTAAAATTACATGTATAAATTATTTCGAAATTCTTCTTAGATTGAAAGCTACACAACTATTTATAAAGGCATGTCACTGTGGACATTTTTTTAATAAAACTCAGAACCATCACTTTAGTGGGCACGGATCTTTGAACAACCAAATGGAGTCCAAATGCTTTCAAACTTCCCTTGTTAGAAAGATACATGTCTTGACTTAAACATGGTTTTGAAATTATCTTAAAATACCTTATGGATTGAAAGTTATGGTGGTGCGAGGTAGGATATATCTCTGCCTCACAAGCACAGCATGGTACAGCTAGTGAACCTCTATTGTCTGGAACCTTTAAAGGGCCAAACAGGGTCCAATTACCTTCAAACCACCCCCATTTGAAAGATGGATGTCTCTAGTATAGAGTTGGTTTGAAACCACCTCCAAATTCAAAACGGACCAAAAGTTATGATACTAAATGGTAGTGCATGTCAATGCCTATAATAATAGGAAATGTGGTTTGTGATACTGAAAATGTGATACTGTGATATTGTTACTGTTATACTGTGATGCTGATATTGTCATAATGTGACACTAATACTGTGATATTGGAACTGTGATAATGTGATACCGTGACACTGATATGGTGATACTGATACTGCAAGCCCTATTGATACTAACCACTACGCATTGGGCCACCCATTGGTAGTGGGTACCGTGATACTGCTTATACTGTTGAATACTGTTGAATACTGTTATGCCGACATTTGTTGATTGTACCTCGACCCCCATGATAGGACTGAGGTCGGGAGGTGAAACTGGATAACAGGGTGGGTCATTCCCCTTAAATCTTTATTGGCACTATGCATTGAGTCACCCAATGGTATGGTAGTGCTCTCTCGTTGGAAGGGCACATGAGAGGGTCGTGTCTTGCAAGGCCTCTGCCTATCAAATACCTAAAGCGCGCTGAGGACGTGTATGTGTGTGTGAGGGCATTACGAAGTGGGGCACCCACTTATTATTGTCTTCCTTCCTGAACGAGATTATAGGTTCCATGCTACAGGATTTGCTTGACCTGATCGATGGAACTTCTATTTCTGGAGTAGGTTCTTCTAGCTTCTATTGTGTGAAACTATGAACTGTTAGTCTTACTATCCGCTTAAAATGAAATGATTTATGATTTATGCACTACATGTTCCTAATAATTGAATTGTGTTTATCCTTTCATTGTGAACGTCTTAAAGGGAATAATAGACGAAATTTCCTTGATACCTCTGTAAATTCGTGAGCACTATTTACTGTTATCACTGTTTATAAAGTTGGAATGCAATGGTGTAGATCTGCTTACTGGGCTGTTTGCTCATTCCATTTTACTCCCATATCTGTAGAGTGAAGAGTGTTAGTCTCTGATCTGAAGGTGGGTAGCTGTTATGTGTTCAGGTGGTTGAAGCTTAAGTTTTGTGGAGTTGCCTTTAGAAGCTTTTCATAGTATATGTTTAGTAGTTATGCCACCATGTGGTTTATATTTAACCTTGTATTTTGGGCCATTAGTGCCTTGGAGAAATTATAAGAAACTTTTGGATATTAGATATCAATGGAATGGCTGTGCTTTTGGACTTTTATCTGTCCCAATGATTGGATTTTAGTTTTATTTCATGGTTTTCTTTTGATTCCATGTTTTTATATGTTGAGCCACTCCCACTTGAGTGGCGTTCGCCACCTCATGTTGCAGTCCCGTACTCTATTGCCCTCCGGCATGTACGGTATGGGGTCTGGGGATGGGGTCGTAACAGTTTATGGTATCAAAGTTACCAGGATAGGATTCTTGGCCTAGGAAGTTTTAGAAGTATCTTTAGGATAGTTCTTTGATAGGCTAGTAACTGGGTGCTTGTGTTTTAGGTAGAAGATGCCGAGGACTCGTACCAACAATGTGAGTTCAAGTAACGAGAACACCGAGGCCTTTGGTCAATTTCAAAACCTTAGGAGCTATGACACAAATGATGAGAGAATCAATGCCAGCCCTCGTCTACCCCTGCCCTTGACCAGAGTGATATTAGTGATAGAAAGATTCAAGAGGCTGGCACCTCCAAACTTTGTGGGGCATGGGGGAGTAGAGAAGGTTGAGAGATGGAGAAGACAGGTAGAAAAGATCTTTGAAGTTCTAAATTGTACAAATGAGCAGAAGGTGAGGTTGGGTACGTTTATGCTTGAAGGAGAAGATGAGCACTGGTGGAGCTCAGTAAAATAGTCACGGGAGGGGTCAGGAATTGTAACTGCTTAAAAGAATTTTCTGGAAGCCTTTTATGAGAAGTATTTTCCCGACTTTGTAAGGGAAAGAAAAGAAGTGGAATTTATAAAGCTGTAGCAGGGAAAGATGTCTGTAGAGCAGTATGCAGCAAAATTTACTGAGCTCTCAAGATATACGCCGCATATAATTGACACAGAGGCGCTAAAAGCTAGCAAATTTGAGAGGGGCCTTCGGCCTAATATAAAGGGGAGGATAATTTCAGCCAACCTCAAGACCTTCTCCCCACTGGTGGATCTTGCCCTAAAGATAGAAAGGGATTACGAAGACTTTCGAGTAAGGAGAGAAGGGAGATTGGGTGTCGCACTGCCTGAGAATTTTAAGAGGAAAGCCCGACGTCCTCTAAGGAGAGAATTGAAGGGGAGGAATGATCAGGGTGGTGTCAGAATCCAGAGGGCTTTCCTAAGTGATGTAAGGGGAAATCGGTGTCCAATCTGCTCTCACTGTGGTCTGAGTAATCATACGGCAGCCGAGTGCTTCAGAAAGACCAGGGCCTACTTTCAGTGTGGCAAACCAGGCCATCTAGTGAAGGACTGTCCAATCAAAGGACCAGAGGACCGACCAAGGACTCAAGGTCGGGTGTTCGCCCTGACAGAACAAGAGGCTAAGGCATTGACCTCCGTTATCCGAGGTACGCTTTCTATTTGTGGAATTGAAGCAAGAATTTTAATTAATCCTGGATCTTTCCACTCTTTTGTTGCACCACATTTTGCATGCCACATGAATGTTAAATCTGAGCAGCTTGATTGGACTTTGGTTCTATGCACACCCATGGGGGGATATTTAGAGATTGATATTATATTTAAACATTGTGGGGTTGTGCTTAAGGGGCATGTTCTACCTATAGACTTGATACTGGTAGACATTCAGGATTTTGACATTATCTTGGGTATGGACTGGTTGTCCACCTACTATGCCACAATAAACTACCATGACAAGACTGTAACTTTTAGACGCTCGAACTGAGTTTTATGGGTATCAAAGATGTTTCCCCTCTACACATCATTTCAGCCCTTTGGGCTTCTCGCTTGTTGGCCAAAAGATGTGTTGGATGCTTGGCTTATGTTGTGGAAAATAGGGGTGCTCAATCTAAGTTAGAGGAGATACCGGTGGTGAGAGAATATCCAGAAGTTTTTCCTGAAGAGTTAACCTCTCTACCCCCAGAAAGGGAGATCGAGTTTGAAATAGAAGTAGCCCCTGGTACTGCTCCCATTATTAAAGCCCCTTACAGGATGGCCTCAGTAGAGTTAAAGGAACTAAAAGAGCAATTGTAGGAATTATTGGATAAAGGGTTCATCCGACTTAGTGTATCACCATGGGACACACCAGTTTTGTTTGCATAGAAAAAAGATGGGTCTTTGAGGCTATGCATTGATTATAGACAACTGTTACGGTAAAGAATAAGTATCCATTGCCTAGAATTGATGACTTATTTGAACAACTTCAAGGGGCCCAAATATTTTCTAAAATTGACCTCCGGTCAGGTTATCATCAGCTGCGGGTTAAGGAAGGGGATGTTCTTAAGACTGCCTTCAGGACCCGGTATGGTCATTACAAATCCCTGGTGATGCCGTTTGGATTAACCAACGCAGCAGCTGTCTTTATGGATTTGATGAACTGAGTTTTTAGACCCTTCCTAGATAACTTTGTAGTGGTTTTTATTGATGATATCTTGGTGTATTGAAAGGGTATGAATGAGACCGAACAACAATTAAGAATGGTCCTCCAGACCTTAAAGTCTGAGAAGTTATATGCCAAGTTAAGTAAGAGTGAATTATGGCTCCCGAGTGTGGCTTTCCTTGGGCATATTGTTTCCAAAGATGGGGTGGCAGTTGACCCTTGCAAAATTGAGGCTGTGCTTAAATGGGGAAGACCAACAATGTGTCAGAAGTCCGTAACTTTCTAGGACTAGTGGGTTATTACAAAAGATTTGTGGAAGGTTTTTCAAAAATAACACTTTCTCTAACCGGCCTAATCCAGAAGGAAGTAAGGTTTGGGTGGTCAGATGCTTGTGAGCAAAGTTTTCAAGAGTTGAAGATGAGCCTGACCACGGCCCCAATACTGACCTTGCCCGAAGGAAATGAAGATTTTGTAGTTTATATTAATGCCTCACACAAAGGGCTGGGATGTGTGTTGATGCAACTGGGCAAGGTCATAGCCTATGCCTCCAGACAGTTAAAGCCATATGAGCAAAACTATCCCATACATGATTTGGAATTAGTAGCTGTGGTCTTCGCCCTGAAAATTTGAAGACATTATATGTATGGGACACAATTTAAAGTGTTTACTGACCATAAGAGCCTTAAGTACTTATTCTCTCAAAAAGAGTTGAACATGAGGCAAAAAAGATGGATGGACTTGCTAAATGATTACGATTGTATCATCAACTACCACCCGGGTAAGACGAACGTCGTGGCAAATGCCTTAAGTAAGAAGCTCGTGGTGTCAGTGGCTCACATGATGGTCCAAGAGATAAAATTATTAGAAGATGCAGTAGAATGACACCCAACTCTGCCCCTTAGTAATGAGGTGGGAACAATTTCATGTATGAGAATGGGGCCCAACTCTTTCAACGGATCCGAGTGGCACAAAAGGAAGATCCTCAACTCATGAAAATTCTTGAGGAGATGAAGTTAGAAAGAAAAGAGGATTTCGTTGTGGGCAGTAATGTTAGGATTTAGGGGTGTGTTCCTAGTGACAAGAATGTAAAAAGGGCTATCTTGAAAGAAGCACACCGCTCCTGTTATACAATGTATCTAGGGAGTACAAAAATGTATCAGGACATGAAGAGGGTCTTCTGGTGGAATACTATGAAGATAGAAGTAGCACAATTTGTTTTCAAGTGCCTGACTTATCAGCAAGTGAAGGCTGAACATCAGAAACCTGCTGGACAGTTACAGCCCTTACTCGTGCCAGAGTGGAAGTGGGAGCACATAACTATGGACTTTGTGTCTGGCCTGCCTAGATCAGGTTCAGGACATGATAGCATTTGGGTCCTTGTGGACCGGCTAACTAAAGCCACTAATTTCTTACCGGTCTGCACTACCTATACCCTCGATAAGTTGGCCCAACTATACATCAAAGGGATGGTAAGACTGCATGGGGTACCTGTTAGTATTGTGTTCGACAGGGACTCTAGATTTATTTCAAGGTTTTGGAACAGTCAGTAGTTAGCCTTGGGGACCAAACTCACTTTTAGTACCGCTTTCCATCCTCAGACTGATGAAAAGTCAGAAAGAACTATTCAGACCCTGAAAGATATGTTGAGGACCTGTGTTACAGATTTCAAAGGAAACTAGGATGATCATCTGCCTTTGATAGAGTTTTCTTATAACAACAGTTTTCAGGCCAGTATTCAAATGGCACCTTTTGAGGCACTATATGGGAGGAAGTACAGATCACCCATATGTTGGGATGACGTCTGTGAGAGGAGAATGTTAGGACCAGTGATTGTTCAGATAACATCAGAAAAGATTGCTTTAATTCGAGAAAGGTTCAAAACAGCTCAGAGTCGGCAGAAGAGTTATGCAGACAATCGGAGAAGAGATCTCGAATTTGAAGTACATGATTTGGTCTTTTTGAAGGTATCACCAACTAAGGCCATTATGAGATTTGGCAAGAGGGAGAAACTGAGTCCACAATTTATTGGACCCTTTGAAATTTTAAAATAAATTGGAGTCGTGGCATATCGACTGGCCCTACCGCTCGAGTTGGCCAATATTCATAACGTTTTTCATATGTCACTATTGAGGAAGTATCAGTCTGACCCATCCCATGTTTTGAAGTATGAACCGATCCCGATCAGGGAAGATTTGACTTATGTTGAACAGTCGGTTGAGATACTGAACAAGAGGGTTTAGGTATTGTACAACAAAGAAATTCCCATAGTCTGGGTTTTATGGCAGTATCATTCACAAGAAGAATTGACATGGGAACGAGAAGATGAGATCCGGGATAAATACCCCGATATGTTCTCTTAACTAACAAGTTTTAGGACAAAATCCTTTTTAAGGGGGGGATGATGTAAGGACAGAAACTTTTCCCAGCTAGAAGGCTTGCGCGACAGTGAAAAGCCATTGGAAGAGGAGAAGAGAAGTGTAAAGTCGTCTATGTAATGCTATCTGTGTAATATCGTCTGTGTAATGCCGTCTGTGTAATTCCGTCTGTCTAATGCCATATGTGTAACGACGTCTGTGTAAAGCCATTTGTGTAATGCCGTTTGTGTAGAGCCATCTATGTAAAGGCGTCTGTATAATGCCGTTTGTGTAATGCCATTTGTGTAATGTTGTATGTGTAATGCCGTCTGTGTAAAGCCGTATGTATAATGCCGTCTGTGTAACGCCGTCTGTGTAATGCCATCTGTGTAATGCCATGTAATGTCATCTGTGTAATGCTGTCTGTGTATTACCATTTGAGACATGTAAGCCACTTGTGGGCCTTTGACAGCCACTTGGTCACCACATACACAACACATATAACCCTTGTTGCCACTTGGCTTGTGCATGCTGCCTCTCTCCCCTTTCTTGTTTATAAATACCCCTTCAAATACTCCTCTCAAGATCACACGCACACACACACACACACTCTCTGTCTCTCTCTAAAAGCTATTGTGAGCTCACTGTTACTCCATTGTTAGAGCTTTGTTAGGAGCTGGAAGGAGACTGTAAAAGAGGATTTTTTAGAGAATCTTTGCATAATAGGTAAAAGGATCCACCACCATTGCACTACTTCCATGAGAATGCATGAAATTTATTGTCTACAAGATGACTAATAAAAAGTTAATGTATTGAAGTGATTCCTATGCCTTGTTTCACTGAAATTGGTGCCTTTATTCTATGATGAATTTTGGTGCTGAAAAATGAACAAATGGCTCAGAAATTCTCTAGGAAATGTATGTTTATGTGTGTATATTGTGAAGAACAGTTATTATGATGTTATTCACTAAGAATTGAAGGCTATGGAACATGTTCTTGACGCATGTAAAGTGATACTGTGAAATTCTAAGAACATGCATGTTTTTGTTAGAGGCTTTTGAATAGTCAAATGAAGTCCAATTGACCTCAAAAGATATGTGAGTGTAGTAAAATTTCAGGTTATCCTATTGCTAAAATTCCTTACAAAAGTGAAGTTATATTCATATAGATATAAGTATGCCACTGTTAGCTATTCTCCCTTAATTTTTGCACTGTTACTGCCGTTGCTACTAGTTTTGACTAAACAAACAAAGTCCATTTTCTTTTAAACCACTGCCATTTGAAAGATCCATGAGTACTCTTAAACTTGAATGTAGAAATCATTTTGAAATTCTTCCTAGATTGAAAGCCACACAACTATTTATAAAGGTTAGTCACTGTGGAAAGTTTTTAATAAAACTCAAAACCATTACTTTAGTGGGCACGGACCTTTGAAACAACAAATGGAGCCCAAATGCTTTCAAACCACCCTTGTTGGAAAGATACATGTCTTCGCTTAAAGTTTTAGTTTTGAAGTAATCTTAAAATACCTCACAGATTGAAAGTTATAGTGGTGCGAGGTAGGATATGTCGCTGCCTTGCAAGCACAACTGGGTACAACTAGTGAAGCTCTATTGTCTTGAAAGTTTAAAGGGTCAAGCAGGGTCAAATTAGTTTAAACCACCCCCATTTGAAAGATGGGTGTCTCTAGTATAAAATTGGTTTTGGAACGCCTCCAAATTTAAAACGGACCAAAAGTTATGACCCTAATTGGGAGCGCATGTCATTGGCTATAATAGCAGGAAATGAGAATTGTGGTACTGAAAATGTGATACTGTGATACTGATATCATCATAATGTATTACTGATACTGTGATACTGGAACTGTGATAATATGATATTGTGATAATGATACTGTGATACTGATACTGCAAGCCTTACTGATACTACGCAATGGGCCACCCATTGGTACTAGGTACTGTGATACTGCTTTATACTGTGATCTATTTTGGA